GGCAACGAACAGACCTTGAACCTATAGTGCAGTGGCTTGAAACAAATCGCAGAAAGGCATGGGAGGCACGCCACCGGGGGCGGCTCTATACAGGGTGCCAGCAGCCTTGCGTGGTTTTGAAGGCCATGTAGCCTAGATCTGGGACACATGCAGGTTCAGAAGTCGGCAGGAAAGCCCAAAGCAGGCCTCCCTGATTCAGGCTTCGCGTCCCGAAATCTGCAACCGATAGCGAATTCTCATGCGTACTCCCTCAGCTTTCAGGAGTCAGTGTCCTCTTCACGAGGCAGAGCGCACTCCCCCAGGGCCGGGATCCCTCGCAACCTGAGCTCCGACTTAAGTTTCCAGACTCGGCACTCTGCCTACGTCTGCCCTCCCTGCCCTCTCCCTGCTTCCGAGCAGCACGACCCGTCCGTAGCGGCATTGCATGAGCGATGCCACATTGCACTTCATCATGTTCACGGCCTCCAGGAGATCGTCCCCTTCCAGGGCACGGATCAGCGCTAGGGCGGTCTGATGGCCGTGCCGGGTCTTCGCCGCGGCGAGGAGCAGTCCAGGCTGTGAGAGAAGTCGCCTGGCCAGGCTCGACTTGTCTTCCGACCTTCCATGAACCAATGCCTTTGCCAGCACGGCACTGGCATTCTGGTCTGTGGTCAAATCGCGGGCATGGGGCTCGAGGACTTGGCAGAGCAAGTGCTGCTGGGCGGGCGTCCCATGGCTGATGATCCTCTGCATCACGAAGTTGCCGTACTGATGCCGGACCAGCTGAAGAGCCTCCTTCAGGAGGCTGTTTGTCACGGGCTCCATTTGCTCTGGCCGGCACTGCTCCAGTAGGCGCTGCAGGATACGGCATCCGTAGCGATGCCGGGCGAGCTGTGTGGGGGCTCGGCCTCCATGTGAAGAGATCTCCTTGATGATGAACTGGCAGTCACTGGGGCGAAGCAGTGTGATGAATCTTTGAAGGACATAGTTCCCGAAGGGGCAACGCGCGGCTTCCCAAACATGTCCAAGCAGCTCCTCAGCCAGGGCCTTTCGCTCCTGATCTGAGCCGCACTCGTCGAGTGCTGCTTGAACACGACGGCATCCCGTCTGCTGTTGGCAGAGCTGCCACACGCGGCCTTGGACGGAGAACCCTCCTGGTCCTTCCAATGGCGACAGTTCAACTGGGCTCATGGATCTGTCAGACTCCGACAATCCAAATGAAGATGTTGATGACCCTGATGCGATGGTGCTCCCGGTTGTTTCCCGCCGGAAGCTCTTCTCGGAAGGTGTGGGCGACAGGCTTGAGGGCTCCGAATGCACATCCTCGCAGGGCTGCCAGCTTGGCACGGCACGGCACGGCGGCACAACCCCACCCCCCCTTGCCTGGAACTGAAGTCGCTGCACTTGTGGCGTCTGCTGCACTGGCTGAGCCGGCTGAACCGGCTGAACCGGCTGCACTGGCTGCACCATAATTGGCACAGCGTTCGGAGCGAACGCCATCGGATGCCTCGGTGTCAACAACACGAAGACGAGCAGTCTCGACGCAATCTTGACACCTGCAAGAGCGCAAGACTAAACTGAATCTGAATATCACTGAACACACTTCGAACCATCATTCCAGGCATTTCCAGGCTGCCCTCCTGGTACGTTCACGACGGATCCGGGGAGCGCCCCCTGCATGTTCACGACGAAAGCCTCGGCTGGCGTCGCACGTCGTCGCACGTCGTCGCACGTCGCAGCACTTGCATGCACTGGTCATGTCGAATCCCTCCGTCACGCTGTTCATGCGAGCAACAACAGGGGCCTGGCACACCATCGGCATCGGGCCGCACATAGTTCCTACCACCGGCATGGCCATGGGGCCGTGGGCCTGCACCACTTGCATCATGGCTTCCTAGAGTCTGCGGGTGTCGCACGCGTCTGAGCCCAAATGAGCACTTGCAGAGGACAGTAAGCAGAAGGAATGCTCTCGTGCCATGATGCGAACGTCGTCTGATAACACAGCTTGATTTGGGTGCACGCACGG